AGTCATCCCATGTCTGACCATGGTATCTCACCTTTTTTCATCACTGATCAGTTAAAAGATGGAGCTGATTAGACTTAAGCCAGTTAGAGCCCCTCCCAGATATTTGCTGCTAGAACTATCCACTAGGGTTACTGAGCTGGTAAGACAGATGAGTCTGGAGACTAGAGAACGTCTTGTTCACCACAGACACTGACAGAAAAAGAACCTCCACATTGGCTGAGCCTCTGTTCCCAGGATTTCCTAGTGAATTCATCTGAGATAGATTTCACAACTTTCACTAGAAAACGGCATCACAGATGTCCTATAGAAAGTTTAAACTCTTTAAACATGTCCAAAATGGAATTATGTTTTCTTTCCCCTCTATTTCATTCATTCTATCTCTTCCAACTCCTATATTTTCAAATCAGGATCCTGGCACTCAACTCTTAAGTTGTTCCAAACATACAACAAATCTGTTCTGTCTGCTCCCTTCCTAAATATCTCTAGAGTCCTTCCTTTCCTTTCTCTAATGCACTAGTCCAACTCTCAACCCATCTATCAGGCCCTTAAATAGCCTCCTGTTCTGATTTTTCTTTTGAGATCTTACTTGGTCAAATCTGTTTAGCCACCAGAGCAGTCATTCCAAGATATAAATTTGGCCTCACCACTTTTCATTTGAAAATAACTCATATTCGCCAAATAGTTTCTAAGATAAAGTCCAACTTCCTCATTAGCCAACAAAGCCTCCCTTCCATGACCAAGTCTTGCCTGCCTCTTGTCTCCCTTCTCTTTCCATCAATTTCTATTGGCCAATACCAAACTGTTGTCATCCCCCATAGACACCAATTACAAGGTTCATGGTTCCTCTACTTGAAATGCCTCTGTTCTACTCCCTTTCACCTCTGGTCATGTCCTAGCTCTTCTAAGAAGCCATCTTCAGCTACTAAGCAAGGCCAGGAGCTCATTATGATCCCATCACAGTCAATAAGTAGCTTTTCCAGTCTATCAAACTCCTTTCTTTCATCTGTTTTCCTGACTGTAAGCAATATGAGTTCAAGGACTGTATCCTATCCATCTTATATCCCCAGTGCATGGCACTCATTATATGATTTTTGGACAAAATTGCCATATTTTTTTTATTTTGCCAAACTGTCTGAAAATTCACCAATTAGGTATATTTGGGGGCATCAAACATTCTTGGTAATATGTAAAATCCACCTTGTCAATTAAGTGTCATAGTTTAAAATGAATCAATTTGATTATAGGTCATTTTATTTTAAAACCTCACTGATATGGGTCACTATGAGAATGAATTTGGAAAGATAATACTATGTACTCATTAAAAAATTCAATTTGTAGAGTCAGGGAGTTAGATTTTCCAAGGTAGAATTCTGATAGAATTCTGACTGCTATTCATAAGCTGGGTGACTTTGGCAATTTACCTAGCTTCTCCAAGCCTGTTTCCTCATGTGTAAAATAGGAATTGTTTTATATACCTCATAACACTTTTTTAAAGATTAAAATACAGGAAATACATGTGCCTGTGTGACATAAATATTTGGTCCAAAGTAGCTGTTATTATTGTCATTTATAAGGGCAGGCCTGGGAGGATGCCATGTGTGGAAAGACACAGGGTGGGGCGGGGAGAGGCAACATCCCAACCATGAAACTTTATCTACGGCAAGCGTAGTTCAGAGTAGGGTGCCTGCCCAGATTCTTCAATATTCACATATTATGAAATTTAGGCATCTTGGCATGGGCATTTCTTAGTCACTGCCATATACCCCACTTCCTATCTCAAGTCAAAATCTCATCTGCCCGCTGGAGAGAGAACATAGAATTCAGAAGACAAACTAGGTATTGCCTCTCATTCTTGTGGTGCTGTGCAATTGATAAAGCTCCTTCACATCCATGACCTCATCTAGACTCCACCACAAACTATATGCTGGTATTTTTATCCCCATTATTAAGGGGATAAAACTAAGGTTCAAAGAGGCTTAAATAACCAACTCCAGGTCACAGAAGTAAGAAGTAGCTAAGTTAGGATTCAAATCGATGCCTTTTGATTCCAAGTCTAGTGTCTTTTATAAAACATAAGTGGAGATCAGGCAAAAAGGGGCACAAAAAAAAGGATAGGAAAGCTAGGCAGGAGATAAGGACATAGGATGAGAAAGAACTGACTGGCTGGGACAAAATCACTAGGGCTGTCATCCCTGTAGGCAGCAGAAGAAACATAAATATGTGTTTGGGAATGATGGCCTTAAGAGCAGGTGAAAAGAGGGCCACATGAAATATAACACAATTATGGAATTTTTTTGGCAAGGAAAATAAATCATCTGGTAAACTTTGAAGAAATCATTCTTCCCATTTTACAGATGAAAAAATCCAAAACCAGGGAGATACCTGACCAGGCCTCTGTCTTATACATCACTAATGGGAGAGTCAATCTGAAGGCCAAAAAGGACCCACTGGTATGACTGTGGTAAAATAGTGAAATGCCTTTCTCTTCTTTTTAACAGTTTAATTAGGGTATAATTAACATACCATAAATGTCACCCATAATAATTACTCAATAATTCTGAGTAAATTAACACAGTTGGGCAACCCCCACTATGGTCTAGTTTTAGAATACTTCTGTCACCCCCAAAAGAATATATGTGAATCAACTATTTTTGACATGTTTGAGCAAGCCACACATATAAACCATCTGTTACTTTGTTAATTTTCCTTGTCCGTTACTAGAAGATTTATATGAAATGACTAGTTTGGGTTCAAAATTATAAAAAACAATACTTTTGTAGATATGCTTTTCTTAAAGTATCACTCTAAATTGTGGATTTGGAGTTTTTGTGACTTGATGAAATTTCATTTATAGCTCAATTGGATTATGTTGGTAACTTTAAATTAGCTAAAGCCCCCCATGCCAGTATCTACATAAATTACACTGAAGCCAAGTTCATTCATTATTTTATCTATAAAAGTGATTTCTTACCTCAAATATTACATCATTCCCACTGCATTTTACCTTCAATTTTTTAAGATGGTATTTTAGACAAAATCACTTTAAATTTTGATTTTGATTTTGAAAGAAACCTTGAATAATTATGCAGTCTGACTTGCTCATTTTCTTGGTAAAGAAATAAACCCAGAGAGATTAAGAGCCTTGACGAAGCTTGCTAATGACAGAGGTAGGACAAGATTACAAGTATTGTCTTCCTAGTTTGGTGCCTTTTCCAACATCCAATAAATAAGCTGATGCTTGCCTCCATTTTTTTGATGAGATCAGCGAGTAGGAGACTAAGAATAAACCACTCTGTGGAGACACAGACTCAAGCAAAGACTTGTCAACTCTGCTTTTTCATGCTCCAACATAGCATATTATCATGGGACAGCTTTATTTGTAACATCATCTGATGTCACTTATACCTTGGGAAGAACCAGCTTTTAAACAAAGTGAACCTTGTGGTAAAACCTGATCTTCTGGGGCAATTTTCTGAGATCATAGGGATAAAGATCTCCAGAAAAGACTGTATCTAGAAAAGCTGTCCTCTTTCATTGGGATATATGGGTTTTACTCACAGTTGAAATGCTGACAACACAACTGGGCTGGCATCTGATACACTTCTAGTTGATTCCTGGTTGCCAAGACCCTCCAAATATTCTTCAAGAACACAGTCACTTTGTACAACATAGGGAAACTGGACCATTTCTGGCAAGTGGGTAGAATTCTGAGAAGAAAAAAATATACTAGTGTGACTTCCTCTCTAGTGGTGAAGAATAATTTGTTTAATATTATATCATAGAATTATTGTGTATTTTGAAGATATTTTTCTTTTTGAACACATTTTACATTAGGGAATTTACCAGACAACATAATATTCAAACCCAAGAATGGAAGGTTCGATATCGTACATTGCCCTTATATTTAAATCTTACAGAAATTTCTAAAAAGAACTCCAAATTAATAAAATGATAGATTTTAAGCTTTCATTCTGGTAAAGTAAAAGCCTTCTACTCAATGTATTAGCTACCTAAATTTTTAAAAGACAGAACATGAGGGGCAAGCCTTTGGCTTCCATTTTCCTCGTGTAAATCAATGACATCTTCAGTTCTGGAATAGCTTTTAAAAATGTGGCTTCTGATAAATGTTGGCAGAACTGGTGCATTCCCAGGATAAATTCTGTACGCTTAACAAATACTTCCCTAGGTCAAATGACCACACAACTGCCCACCAAGAAACAGGCTGAGGTCTGGATGTGAACGAATGTGTAATGTACCTTATAATGGGACACTGGCACATTTTTAAAAAATTCACGTCTAGGGTTAAATCTCTCATCAAATATCAACGTCATAACAACCACAGCTATTACCTGAAACATGAAGTTTAAAATTAAGGGGCTGGGTTAAGGAAGATGTAATAGCACACAAAAGAAAAACTTCAAATTTTTCTCTTCTCTTTCAGGTAAGTTTCAGCTCTACAAATCCTCCCTTGCCTTTTAGAATACCAAAGTGCAGGTTTGCTCTTTTCATACCATGTACAAGGAAATCTGTGTCTCTTTCCAAATAAGGAATATGAGAAGTCTTCCAGTTCCATGAAGACCAGAAAGCAGCCCCACGGGAAGTTTTATCCCGCCCCAAGGGTGTGAAAATGGGCATAGCAGTGTGGGAAAGACATCAGAAAGAGAAAATCTGTAAACCATACACATATGGTTGGAAAAAGAAAACAAAAAACCCTACAGATCAGGACATCAACAGAATCTCGGGGATTAGACAGAAAAAAAAACAACCACCGTGGCCAGGTCAGAACCGAAGCTGCAACTCCTGAGCGACCAGAAAAGCGGGGGGCCTCGCCGCAGACGCTGGAGAGCTGGATGCGAGCAGGAATCCTGACAGCGCCATCTACAGCGCTCCCGCTCGCCCCACCCTCCCGGATGCCCCCTTCCCATCGGAGGCCCCGCCCCGTGCGCCCGGGGTGCTGGGACCCCGCGGCGTGACGCGAGCACGGCGACTCCGCCCCCTGCGTCTCTGGCCTCGCCGGCCTTGGGGGGATGGTGCCATCATGGCGTCAATGCAGGTGAGAGGAGTTTGCAGCATCTGGGCGGGCGAGGGAGCTGCCGAGAGGATGTGAGCGTTTTGTCGGGGGCGGTGTCTGAGAGTCTGGGGCACCCCGACGGGCTCGGGAGCGGCCCTGGTGGCCGGTCCTTCCCAGCCTCGGGGCGTTTGGGGAGGGGTGAGAGGCGGCAAGAAGAAGGGCGGGGGTGGGGGTGCCTCGGTCGGTCGATCGAAGCGGACACCAGCCGGCCGGGAAGTTGGGGAATAAAGAAGGCTAAGCGGAGGAAAGGGCGAAGTTTGGCGTTGGCTCGGCAGCAGTGCTCTCGGAATCACCTCTCAGACCGTCTCCGCTGGACTGCCTGTCCCTCCACCCCAGGGATGCCTTTTCCTCCGCGGCTCCGGGCCGGGCGGAAACAGCTGCTCTTGCCGTAGTCGCCGGGGCAGGGGCTACGCTGAGAGAGGGGTTGAGAGTGGAGTGAGCTGAAAAAGCGTCCCCGGAGAAGGCGGCTGGTTGCAGAGGCGCTCCTCGGCTTCTGCTCAGGCCTCCCACGCCCGGCTTCCCTGACTGCTGAGCCCCTGGGCTTTTCTCTCTTTTGACTCTTAATCCTTTGGCCGGGTGGGTACCTTACTCCATCGGCTTTCGCACTCTCACCGAACATTCGTGCTTCAGCCCATTTCTCACTTTCCCTGAAGCTCCCCTTAGTACGTGAACATCTCTCGCCGCCCAATATGCAGTCTCTTAGAGATCCGAGTCACCAGCCTCCTTATGCCTCCCGGGATAACTCACCCTCAAATATTTTTCCTACGGTGCCCCACCCTTGCGGTCGCGGTAAACCGATAGCCCTTTGCCCTTCTCCCCTAGATCTTTAGTGGAACCTTGTTTGGTAGGAGGCGTTTTATTAACCCGTGTCATATCGACCTGACTTGGCAATGAGTGGCTGGCTTTCCAACTTAATATACTCCTTTTTTACAAATCCAAGGAGTTTGTTTGTTTCAGGCAAAGATGGCAACCACAATTGTAGTTTTGTAAAGATTGATTCTGCATTATCTGTAGTCTGTCTTTAATTTACAGTTGAAGATTAGCTTTTAATGAAAACATTGAACAGAAGGTAGAACTTTGGTTTAGAGTGTGACCTGAGCGCTTTTTAGAGTTTTAACATCTTAGAGAAAGCGACCACGTTTTTCTTTAGAAGGATTTTGTGCTTTTGTTTCTAGCGTAATCAAGTCTCCCTATTTCTCCCACCTCATTTCCCCCCTTTTTTCTAAGCCATAGCAGTGTTTTTCTTTACTCTCTTCTCTTTTCTGCATCTTCTTCCTTTTTTGTATACGTCTTTGCTCATATTTACTTCTGTGCTTTTGTGTTATCCCCTTTCAGCATGTTTTCACTGCAATATTCTTTTTAACCTTTTTTCTTCCTCTGGACTTGCAGAAGAGGGGGAAAAATGTATATAACATTTCTAGTTATATACAATTAAAGAGATGTCACGAAACCGTGCAGGAAAAAAACAAGAACAATTTCAGGAAACATTATACTTTACACTATTCTCCCCAGAGACGTTAGAGAAGTTTCGTCATTTGAGGCCAAAAAAGGAACTGTAGAACACTAGTTGAACAGTAGATGGGCAATATGACTAATTTAAAAATATTTGTTTTACAGTTAAAACTGTTTTAAGACTTAAAAATTAAAATCCACAATACTTGTGATTATACTTGACAAGATAATTATAGGGATAGCTAATTAGCTGGTTAGAGTTAGACTTCAAATATAAGGAAAAGACAGGGTTAAGTTTTTAAGAGAAAATAACTAGTCAGAACAGAACTTAAAATGTTGATAATCTTGAGTTTTATATGGTGAAAAAATATTTGCCAGTGCAATACTGCATGTTTCTGCTTCTCAAGTATACTACCTCTGTCTTATCACCCTTTATTCCTTTGTCTTCTAATTAGAGGAATGGAAAACAGGTGTTTACTATTTTAATCAAAATAAAACTAAATCTTTTATTTGTAGTTATAAAATATCTGATACAGATTTCCCAATAGTATTTTGAAGAATATGTTAATAGAGAAATCAGACTTTTTGAAACATAATACAGTAATACTGTGTGGTTATTCTTTGTCTTCGGTGAACAAGATTTTTTCCTGACAATCTTAATAGCAAAGCTTAATTCTTTTTAGAACAACTAAATTACACAAACATCTGCAGTCAGATTATGAAACTTGTTCATTCATCAGTTATTTTTTGAGCGATAGTTTGTATCAGGTACTCATCAAGGTGCTGGGAATAACAGCAATGAACAAGAACCAAGATTGCTGCCTTTGTGGATATGATAGTGTAGTGGGGGGAGGCAGGTAAGAACAAAATACTTTGGTTGTGTATTATAGTTTAAGATGAAAGTGCTGTGGACAAAACATGCAGGGGCGGAGGCTAGGAAATAGATATTTTTGGAATTTCACTTAGAATGCTTAGGGTAAAGTATGCTATAGGTGAATGCTGCCCAGACTGTGTCCTTACTTAAAAAATCTTAAATAGATTTTTTATCTTACATCAGGATATTAATGCTGCTGAAGGGTTACTTAAGCTGTAAGAGGAACTGTATTTTTAAAATACTCAGTTTCTACAAGTGTAACAAGGAATTTGATTACTTGAATTGATAAAAACGAAATAAATTAGTTTTTAGTCTCAATAATAAGTGAGGGTGGGATTTGAATTACTTGTTGGTATGTGTTTTAAAGTTGAGTTTTTAACTGCCTTAATGTACTTACCAGTGCCTCCCAGCCTCTTTCCAGGTCATGGCACCCATAGAAAATAATTTTTGAATTGCACGCTAAGGTGGGTGAGGTTTCAGAGGCTTGTAACACTTGACCAGGCAGATCCGGTGAAACATTGGGAATGAGGACCAGTGTTACTGGCATACCTTGTAATGCCAGGGAAATTCTGCTCTGTAATGTTGCTAGAGTTCTTCAGTATGCAGTTAAAGATTGTCTTCAAACTTACGTGAGCCCTTTGAGATGTTCTTTTCCATATTTTTTTTCCTACTGTTTCTTCCTAGAACAAAATCACAAATCACTAAGATTATGGCAAGATTATGTTTTAAGGAGCCATTCTTAAAGAATGGGGCTCAAAATTGACAGGAATTAGGGTAAAGAAATCGATCTACATTTAATTTTGATAATTCTAGAGCCTTAAAATATTAAGTGGAAAGTTGCTTGTAGCAAATTTTTTAATTTAACAGTTTAGGACTTTGATTATTTAGTACAAACTTTCTATCCCCAAACTTCAAAAGCACTTTAAAATGAATTTTTCTGTGATTCTAAACATTTCTTAAAAGTGAGGCAGTATTGGGTATTCTGTTACCTAAATCACAAAATTATATTCTTTGTGTTAATGTTTCTTTTTTCATTTTGTACTTAATCTTTTTTTTCCTTCTCCTGTTAGTTAAGTATTAACTAACCTGGCTTCCTGGATACATTGTCTGATTTTAGAATTTAATTTAGATGGTTCATTCAAACTTGTCTTATGTTGGAAGTTTTTAAGTATATCTGGTATATTTTTATGATTTGGCCACCTAGATTTATTTATTAATTTTAGATGTGAACTCCTCTTACATATTAAGATCTTACAAAGTCACTACATAACAGTGATATTTGTCAACTCTAAAAGCAATGATATAATGCACAGAAATGCTAATTAAATTACTCTTGTGGATTTTCTGCATTTTCTTCCTCTCTCTTACCTAATTGGGTCTCAGACTATATTGACTGTTTTGGTTAAATGGAGATTGAGATTTAGTAGGGATGGATTATGAGTGTGTGCTTATTTTATCATGACTTAGAAATAAATCATTTTGGATCATTCACAACATTGCTCTTTACTCAAGTAATTGTTGCTAGTGATTGAGAGAGGTGGAATATGGGCTAAGACATTACTATCACTGTAGTTGTGTTGCCTTAACACAGTCTATGGGATTATTTGTTGATGCCATTTTGAAGGCTTACAACATAATCAAGAGTTAGAAAATTGACTGTCATCCTTGATTCTGAGTCTGAGTACTGGGAACTGGAATATAACTAGAATTACAGTGTCTGAGGTTAGCTGGATACAGGTAGGAATGGGGCTGTCAGGAAGCTGTTGAAGGACCAGGAAAAAAGGCAACAGCAAAGAATAGAATTGAAGGGGTTCTTTGTGAATCATAAACATAAGTAGATAGGAGACAACATGTGAAGAAAAGCCATAAAGCTATGGTAATCATCTTAACTCTGAAAGCAGTCAGTATTGTACTTCTCTTTTTGCTGTTAATCAATTACTGCTTTATGCGATGCCTTCGTTTTTGTCCTTAAGTGTTTGGGTCTTTCATTTAACTTTTTAGGTCTCTTTGATTTCCTTGGGCAATAGGGTCCATGAGAATTGGAAAAATGCTTTTTCTCTGTTCCTTAAACGTGCACATAGTGACTCCAGTAAATGTTCATTCCTTCACACTCCAAGAAACATTCCTAAATAGCAAATTCTGCCTCAGTTTAGTTCTATTTTAGAGAAATCTGTTAAGCAATTCTACGATAGTAAAGTTGAGTATCTATAAAGGAATAATTTAAAATTCACATTTACATTATATTTTTTTCCCCAAAAAAAGTTAGGTTATTTTCTTGATTTATGTGTTCATCATAACTTTAATGTTTTTCAAAGTATTTTCGTATTCTTTCTCCCTGGATCTTACTCCAACCTTGTAAAAGGGAAAGTAAGATAATACTACTTCATTGTAATAAAGATTGATTTTTGGTAAGTAATCATTTTTTGGAAAGTGACTTAATCAAAATTACATAGCAGCTGTGTAGTGAAGCTGTGATTAGAAACCAAGCTCTGAAATCTGATGCCGTGAAGTTGTAGGTAATGAACATATTAACAAGTTCAGCATTGTAGAGAAGTCATTGTAATAGTCATCTAACTTTTCAGTGAAGAAGTAAGCATTTACTAAACATCTTTTTATAGTTTCTATAGCTAAAAAAATGATAAATATTCCTTATACT